AATACCATTAGGAGCACTAGGAGGAGTCAGAGGAACCTGATTTTCTCACAGATTATCTGTCACATATAATACTGTCAGGATATAGTGATAGTTATAGTCAATTATGACAAAAAAACTTTTATAAAAGTTACCTACTGCAGCTTTAAGAAGAGCTTGTTTATATATTTGGCAGACTGCTGTATAGTGCTGGATTTAAGTTTTTTATGTTTTTTTCTCTCTAAAAATCACAAGAGGTTGCCTCTTGCCTTTGTTACGTGGATTAAGTGGATTTAGAATTGATGAGCAATTAACTATAATGTGTCAAGGCTGACCAAGCTTCTCGTCCTTTCATGGAAAAGCTCCGGGCAGGAGAGAGAGCGGTGGCAAGGTTACATCAGTTCACCATGGCCAGCAGCACCAACATGACCTACAGTGATCCTGTCACTCTGTCAGCCCCAGACGAGTCATGTTGCTTTTACACCCACAGGATGGACAGTGAGCTCACATGGACAACAAGGACACAAACAGTCTCTGTTGCAAAGATACCAGAGGGGCAGACGTTATGTGTTAATATGCTCTGTGATAAAGCTGAAGAAAGATATCGTGTGTGTGCATTTAACTTGTCTTAAAGTTATGCTAGTCATTTGACAATATGCATATAGGGATATAGCCTGTTTTTCTTGCCAGCTTCTATTAGCAGGAGTGCTCTGAATCCAGTACCACCCTTTACTGTGGGGATTGTCTGCAGGTTATAAAGTATTCTCGCAAGTTATAACCGACCATGACAAGCAAGCTGCACTGAGCCCAGTTATAATGATGATCAGGCACCCACACACTGATAACATTTTTCCTGATATTGCTAGAATTTTGTTGACGTTTGAATCTAAATTAAGCAAAATGTATTTAAAAAATTTAATATGTTCTTTGGCAAACTACTCTCCACTTATCAATATGATGTCTGCAAAGTTTGTTTCTAGCTGTAAATCTTGGAGTGAATCGAATTATAAAGCTCATGTAAGCTATAATTAACTCCCCTCACTAGGTGGCAGTATTGAGCCACACAGTGTGAGGATTTACAGTGCATAGTAATCCTGTCACTGTTTGCTGCAGTGAAGGCCATCACATCATGCCTAGTTTTTTTCCATAGTACTGAATCTAATCTATATGAATATAACACAGTTTGGTTTATATGTGGAAAAGCAGAATACAGCCTAAATAAATACACCCTAATCAACCCGGGAGTCATCGTCAAGTTCCTGCTCATTCAGACTTTTTTTTGCGTCACTGAAACGGCTTTTTGCTGCTGTGTGTTGTGATGTATTCAATGTTTTCCCTGTGTATCTGACGCGCAGTACCAAATAGTAACAGTAATTTGTCGGTATCCCTCAGCTCACAGCTCTCCTTCCTTATGTTTTGCTCTGTCCAGCTCTCCTTTGCTAATCCCTTTCGCCGTGACCTCTGACCCCTGCCTGGATGGCATCTTATGTAAGGTGGTGGTTGAGGAAAGCACACGGGAGCAGCCTGTGGTCTGTTGCGCCAGGTCAGGTAAGCTCATTAACAGTTACTACAGGATGTCCAAGTTAACAACATCTAGAAATAAACCTCAGTAGTGGGAATAATAAACCAGAGAACTGATGACACTTGGTAAAGGTGCTGACTTCTGTTTCCTGGTTTGGAGCATATTTAACTTGGCTGTCTCAGGACACTGAAACTTGAACTTACTCCACATTACACAAACAGTATAAAGTAGCCTACAGGGTTTGTGTGTCCGAGTCCAGTTACATTTCACCTTACTGACATACAATAGGCTCTTAACATGGGAGAATAGACACAGCAGAGGGAGAGAAAAGCCACTGTGTGTAAGGTCTAATTTATTTTTATTTTTTATATATTCGTCATTTTAAAATGACATGACCCCCTCCACACCAGAAACCTCTTTACCCCTAATACACACATACACACCCACACACACACCCACGCACACACCACAACACTATCCTCTAACTGCCTTCCCCCATCTGTCCTTTCCCTATCAGTGTGGGTGAGTCACTCTGCTCGAACAGTCCAATACGCAGCCATTAAAGCAGCCGAATAATCACACCATTGCTTTCACTCAAGCATCCCAGGTTTTCTACCAAAGTGTAAAACTTGCATAATAGTATTAGGAATAGTTTGTCCTTTGCCACTCTCTCTTTCTTCCAGGCTAAAGTGCGAGGCCCCTCCTCCCAGTGAGCGTGTGTTATGATTGTAACTGACAGTGTGTACTCTGCGGTGGTAGACATACTGTTGTCCTCCAGTGTGACACATTTTTAACAATAGAAACAATCTTGCAGTTGTGTGCAGTCAATATATTCCCCTTTTGTCTCCAGAGTCCCAGAGAAAGTAGTTTTCTCCAACTGCTTCTTGAAAAGAAAATCCCATCTGTCTTCACTTTTTCCACAGAATAAAATCCATCTTCTTAAAATTGGACAGATGATCTTGTCTTGGCATTCTCTGGTTCTTAGGTCTAACTGCAGGCTTTGACAGTGCAGACCACATTATTCCGATCCAAGTGTCTCTCTGGTTCTGCTTTGGACTGGTTTCCCTCGCATTTATCCAATACAAAACTTTACAGTTCCACTGGGATTTCTTGCTCATCCTCATCTTCAATATCCTGCAGGCTACCCTAAGGCTCAGCTTTTGGCCCATTTCTCTTCTCCTATCATTTTCCCCTTTTGGCCATATTATTCAAAAATAAATTTTTCTTCGTCATTTTGTATTTAATTTAATCTCTCTTTCAAGGCCTGAAAACTTGGCTTCAAATCTCAAACATTTACATCAAATATTCATGTACTTACATTTAGAACAGGACAACAAAGTTAAAAACATCCCTAGTTATTATTTATTATGAGTTTAACAGTTAAAAAACTAAGCAACAACCTCACAACTGTCATCGCATTTTGATTTAATGGTTATTTGTATTTAATGATTTTCTAAATTGTGTATTGTTGTATCACCTTTTTCCAACTGAGCCCCGCCCACTTCCATCCAGTGAGAAAAACTAAAATTACAGAAATCTCTTATGTGAAATAACTCAAACTGTTATTAAAATAGTGTGTTCAGGTAGGAGCTCATAGTAAAAAGCTGCTTGAGAAGATCTTATGTTAAGTTTTTAAGTCTTTATGTCCTTTATAGTCCAAAACGCAAATAGTTGATCAGATTTCAGCCTTGAGGACATCGAATATTGATAAGACGTTCTCCAGCTGAATGAGTAAAAAAGTTATTTTCTTCCACTTCACTTGATATTGGTTAATACTTTATCATTTAATATCCAGCATCCTTTTCATCTAAGTTTACTAGCTAGCAGTCTTCTCCTTCCCTGCCTTTGGGAGCTGCTTTTCTCAGTGTGTTACAGCCACCTGTTGATCAGAGGAACAGAGTAAAACCGTTGGCAGAAATGTGTATAACATCACCTGCATCCTCGTGTGCATTCATGTGCATCCTTGTGTGCGTGCACTAGAACAAACTCTTCAACAAACATGGTTCCATAGCACTACCAGAGGTCAAAAACTCCAGAGGGTACCTTTAAAACTTGGACACTTTGTCCCCTTAGGTTAAACTGTATACAAAAATAATATTTGATTTAACGTTGAAATTTCTTCTCTTTTTTTATCGTTTTGTTTTTTTTTATATCAAAATGAGTCAATTTCATTATATTTTGGTGTCACTCAGGCTTTTCGGTCCAGCCTCCAAAGCGGTCCAGAACAATGAGGACCTCTAACAAGACCAGAAAAAGAAACAGTACTACCCCTATTATGTCCTCCCTTCACTGGTCCCGCTTTAGTTGCAGAGTATTTGTATACAGTGCAGTGCATGGTCTCATCCCAGCATACAGTGTATATCGCTGAACTCCTTTCCCTAAGAAACCTGAGGGCCTTTTATCTGCCACTCATTCAAGGACAACATCATAGAGTCCTCCTTCCTCTTCTATTAGATTTTTTTTTTCTTTTTTAACTATTCAAGATTTGCACAAAGGACTTAAGGAGCCTTTTGCTTGTTGGCTTTTTAACTGTCCCTGACCCCTTATTCCTACCCTGTGTCTGTCTGTCTGTGGCTGAATTATGCATTTGTCCCACTTTTTGGAGTCGTGCATTTAATGTTTGCTCCTCACTGTCCTGTGAAGCTCAAAGTGTCCTAAAAATATAAATAGAAATCGAATCACATTTCAGTCGTACAAAAAAAAAATATATGTCCTCTAACAAACACAAAATAGGGAATTCTGCAATTCATGTTTTAAAAGCAGATCAAAGTGATCGTTTAGTTCCAATCAGATTTAAATGTAAGACAATATTTTGCCAAACTGTGCGTTATTTTATGTGAGACCTTGTATAATATGTATGCAGTTGGCTGTAGTGAGTCTGCTCCAGGCGCACCGAGAGCTGCTAAGGCATCAGGGGACAGCAGCCATGTGACCATGGTTGCAGGGATTGGTTTAGTGCAGATGTGACATCAGCGAGCCTCCCACTCCCTCCCTCCCTCCTCCCCTCTCTCTCTCCCAGTCTTTCTCTGCTCTCTCTGCCTCTCTCTCTCTCTGTACCGCTCTGCTTTTTTTTTCTCCTTTGCCTTTCCTCAGCATCCCCCCTCTCAGAGATGGCGTGTGTCTGTGGTGCTCAGGCGTCCGGGGCCTAACGTGCACACACACACACACACAGAGAGAGAGAGAGAGAGAGAGAGAGAGAGAGAAAGAGAGAGAGAGGACCCCCCCATCCCCCGATCTGCTGCATATTCTTCGGGTGTCTCTCCTCCCTGTGTCCTCCACCGCTGCTGCTGCTGCTGCCTCTCAGCTCTCCCCTCCACCCCACCTCCCTGTGCGGGTGTCTGGGAGTTGGGCCCTTTGGGGGTGGAGGGAATCAACATCGTGCTTCGCTGGGGAGCTGTGCAGAATTAGCTATGCCCTGCCCAGGCATCCTTTGACCGGCTGGATCTCTCCGTTTCTGTCCGCCTGCGCACCAGAGGACAACATAGGATGAAAATCAGCAATCATGATGCAAGGTAATTTATCCGTGCACTCCTTCTCCTCCTTTATTTGCCATGTTTTTCCCCCCTTGCGTCCTCCTCCTGCCCTCTTGTGTCCTGCTGGGCCATTAAAGCCATTGAATCCAGTGATGTGATCTGTCGTACCGTAAGGACCTTAGAGCTGAACTGAGCTATGTGCATGACTAATGTGACAATGTGGCCGTTGTGTGTGTGTGTGTGGGACGTTGTTAGTCACAGATTGAGATGTATGTGAGATGAAAGCGAAGGTGTGTGAGGTTTAGATTTGTAAAGGCAGAACTGATGCACAGAGCAGTGTAGTGTTGCACTTGCCTGTTGTTTGTGTGTGTTTCCACATGCCTGTGCATGCCTCTGTTTGCATGTGCAGATTATAGATCTATCTTTAGTTGTACTCTCAGTCTGTGTCATGTGAAGGCGTATTTGAGAAGAGATCTGAGCAGTCCAGGAAGCTGCACTCATTCATACCTCTGCTGCTGTTGCTATCAGTGCACAATATTAAATCATGCCAATAGGAGAAGGTGGTGGAGTAGAGAATGCTGTACCAAAGTTAACAGTGGTGGAATTAGGTAAAGTACTTTATAAACTGTGATGGAAGATTTTAATCATAGATGTAACCCTGCATGACAGATGCTGGGCCTTTACCATCCATTAATGCCAACGTGGTAATGGAAGGTGGCTATTATTAGCAAAAGGCCTGCAGTTAGCCTGCCGTGATATTATACTCAGTTCATGAGCTACACAGCGACACAGATGTCACATGCTTATCATAGCCTTTGTTAGCTACATGTGCATTGCTAATTACACAGTATAGGCTGTCAGGTGTAGTTAGTGACACTGAGTACATGTTATCTGGACTCAGACATGGCTGTAGTGCTCCAGTGACAACCTTCTTGTTGATGCAGCATGTGTGTTTATCATCTTTATTAGAAAAAAATAAATATAATATTATAATGTTAGACTACTTAGACAGTCTCAGTGTGAAATTAGCTTATTAATCTTTGATAGAATTTGTCCAAATGTCTCCTTTTTGAACTGCAAGTTTATACTTGGGTGTCAGATTTATCGGCTGTGGCTCGACACTGACTACAAGGTCCACACCGCTGGTTTTGAAGGTTTCAGCCCCGTAACTACAGATAATACATACTTTACACCGATGCTGACCATTCATCAGAGCATGGCATGAGGTGATACGTTGTTTGCCTTGTTTCTAGGCAGCCTTTTGTGAAGTTACGCCAGAACCGTAAAAAAAAAAAAAACGTGAAACCTTTTTTTTTTTTTCAACTTTGTTTTTATTGAGTTAGTCACAAACATAAAGCAAATGCAGTATAAGGGGTGTAGTTCAACATCACGTATAAATTGGGTATAAGATTGCAAATTCTCTACCATTTTCGTGGCCAGTATAAATCAAATTATATCTTCTCAAGACACGTCATCCTGTTTGAGTACATGTCTATGTGCCAATAGTGATGATTCAAAAATGGGTAACAGAATCCAAGTAAGGGTCAGTCCGCACAGATGTCCAGGGGAAGGGCACAACAACTAGTGCACAAGGGGTCAAGGTCATGCCTGTCCATCTGCTTGCACACAGCTCACACTGGCCTCATTCAAACTTAGATGGAAATTGCACCGCAAGCAGCAGATCCTTACACATCTTGACACTAACTTCCCACAATTTAACATGTGTTCGCGGTGTTACGAAGATGGAAAGAAAACAAAAAAATGGAAACCAGCATATATTTAAATTCTTGTTAAACGTGAAACCTTGTTGAGATCAGTAATCCATTGCAGGGAACACTACAAAGACAAAAGCGTTCACAATGCATCATTCCACCACATTGTAAAGCCAATTAGAAGGTAGGCTGAGAAGCTAAACATCATAGAAAGGGGTGGAATTAGAGTATAATATTAATGACATTATACAGTATCAGCCACTCAGAATTAGCCCCTGGACGGATATATGTATCCATTCATTCCACCGAGGTAAGCAAGGGCCTGTCAGGGACCAACCAGCAATTCTATTTGGCTGCATCTGTAAGTGCTAATCAGTAGGTGGTGGTAATGTCTCAATTGTTTGTTTGCCAACTGCCTTCGAAGGGGTTTGGTAGTTGTAGATGTTTATTGGGAGCTAACGCAGTGTTTGACTTCTTCTACAGTTTCAGACAATCAAATCAAAACTAGAATAAAAGTTAAATCAACAATATAGACAATAAAATACTGTACTTAGAGTTAGCACACATGTGCAGTTAGGGTTTGGGGACTGGAGTGAATGCAAAGTGTATCATCGCTGAGCAAATCTGTCCTGGACATTGTTCAAAACTAGTTGCTCCCAACCATGGTTTTATTGCTCCTCCTTTCTTTCCTCTTTGTTTCAAACCAACCTCTCTGTCTCCAGCACCCGAGGCACGGTGTTGTGGGCAGTGTTGCTGTGGCAGAGGCAGGTGTGTGAAGAATTGAGAGTAGATTTTTCACACCTATAAACTGACAACCAGCACGATGAACGCCACAGTACACCAGTTACTAGAGTTCATTTGGAGCTTTCAGCTGCATGGCCAAAAGATCATTTTACTAAGTTAAGATTTTTTTCCTAAAGGGTTAGTTTTGTGGTGCAATCATATGTGCATTACAGGTAAGTGCCAGGCTATTGGTGAACCTAAACATGTGGTTTGGAGTCGGTATTGAGGAGTACATTGATTTGGATTTAAGAAGTTGCTGTTTCACAACCGGATCTCATCTCTCAAATGTTCAAGACTCCTGAAAACGTTTGAACATTCAACAAAAAAAGGAGAAACAACTGCTTTACCAACATTTTTGCATTTGTCTGAAATGCAGCGACATGCATTTGAAACCCTGTTTTGAAACGCTCTGCTATACTGAAAAATGGTCAGCAGTAATGTAAAGTATATACCATCTGTACAGGGTAAAACATGTGACAGAACACAACAGAAATGTCCGAACTTCTGTGAGCATGAAGACCCAAACTTAACAATATTTACAGCGAATATCATTAATTACAGTGATCCCTCTGTTTAATGAATGTCGTAGGGCCGTCCTCAGGCAAACTTTGTAAATGGGTTACAAAAGCAACTCCTGCACAATGTGACCAAAAAGAATCTGACGAGACTCCTTGCGCTTCCTCACTTTGTGTCTTATTGTTCAGCGTGTTTATTACACTATTTCTACTCCTTATCACACAAGACACATGCAGGTTAGGACTGGACAGAGGGCTGGCTGTTCGGAGCTGTCTCCACTGATGAAGAGCCATGGTGCAGGAATAATCTGTGCTATTGAGCAGTCCAGCTACTAATACATCACAGGCCCTGACATGTCCTTCAGTACCCAGAGAGCTTCCTCCCTAGTGAATGGTACTGAGCGCCAGTCCAGTGCAGCTGCTTCACATTTATAGTATTCATTAGTCTTATTATCTGGATTTCAATGTGAGCGTGACGTTTCATCAAATCAGTGACTCAGTATTTATTTGGATGTCAAAGTCGGGTTGATTTTCAAAACAATTTCTGAACACAACAAACACCACAGGACTCTCTCACTGTAAAATAAATGAGCTATGGACAATGCAGAATGTCAGTTTGGGGCATATCATATGTTCCTGTTTAAAACAGCCTTCAGAAAAAGAGATGAAGAACACAAACTGAGCTGCCTCTGAATAGCACAAAATGTTCATCCACCCAACTGTCCATCACGTGTCCCTGTCGCTCTTGTATGGATGTGAGAATCAACTGTGCTCTCTTGTCTTCTAAAACGCTGTTACGCAAACCTACCGGTTGTCTATTTGGAGGGAAGAAAATGTTCCACAGCTCTGCCAATACTATACAAAACAGAGAAACCAGGATAAATGCTCCTTCAGTGATTTCTAATTGCCGTTATACCTTTGAAGCAGGAGGATTGTCAGTGTCAGTTAACTCAATACGTCTGAAAAAAGTTCACTAAGAGCTCAGCTTGTTGGGCTTGTCTTTGTCTTTGTTGTTGTGAGTGAATGTACAGAGCAGGACAAACTGACACTGAGTGGCCACCGAGCTCAGTTTGACTAAAAATGCAACTAAGATGCTAACAGCGTGAGTCTGTCTGATGTCAGTTCAGGTCCAATTATCAATTGCAATGAACTTTTTTTCTTGATCTCCAGAGGATGAATCCAGCCAACCTTGGTGATCCTTTGACTTTTCATCATAGCCACAAGCTGGTCAAAGTTTTTTATCCAGTGAAATATCTTTAAGCTTGGCTGTGCTAATTAGTAAATATTATTTTGTTAACACACTAAACTAAGACGGTGAACATACATTTAAAGTACACGCTAAGATAATAGAAAGCCGAAGTCCTTACATCACGTCTGGGCTAGACTTTGTTAGCGCCTGTTACCGGTGCAATCTCTTATACAGCATTTCTTTCTGAAAAAAAAAAAGGTTTAATGTCCATATTTTCTACAAATCGACCTACACTTTTTTATTCTTACTTTGTGAACACAGAAAGAACTACAGCTTCCATGACAACGTACAACACGAGTGCTTACATCATCTATGGTTCACATCCACAGTGCTCCCTGTCCTGCTGTTATTACACATGTCACACTTTCATGCTACATATTCATGCTACATATTTTGTTTTACAATCAGTCCAAAATGCTTGAAGAATTTACTTTACATAAACTTTTTTTTAAAAATGTTTATAAATGTTTTAAAAATGTAATGGTTTCAGTAGGTGTTTATGGATGACGTGTGTCTGTGCTTGTGTTTTCAGTTTTCTTTTACAGTTTTGTCTGTTGATCTGTCTTTTAGTCAGTGACAAGGAAAAGCAGGAATAAAATCACAGATGAAGCATTACACTCGGATTCCACCCAGCAAATACTTACTTATGCAGAAACCTCTAGGCGTTGCACACATTGAATTGTGTTTCTTTGTTGGTTTTTCCCAGTCGTCCTGATTCAAGCACTGCATGGTGCCAACCGTCTGTGCTGCAGGGGTCTTGGCGTGCAGTTTGGCTGACGGGTTGCTCTAGTAGATCTCTCCACACTCTCCCTCAAATCTTGCTAATGAAGTGGACACATTGATCAACCTTTCCTGGTGTTTTCTTTCCAGTTTATATAGTCGGGGAGAGGACACTTAAGAGGATTGCGTCTGCGTTGCTTCATTTCATGTGGAGACTTTCTTCAGATGGCAGGATGTTTGTGTCCCGAATCAATATATTACTTTAAATCAACACATTGGGGGTTACTGTAGGACAGGGTCACCCTCGAGTTACTGAACAGCCTGTTACTCTTCTGTGTTATTTGCTTTTAAGTACATTTTAATGACGAGACAGTTAACTTTATATTAGGCTCTAAAACTTGAAATTAATTCTTCATGATGTTGTCCCCCCCTTTTCTCTCTCTCTGCACTAGGATTGAAAAATCGAACAAGGAAGGCCCTGGGCTTACGAAAGAAAGACAAGGATACAGACACAACGTGAGTTAGCTCAGGGTCACACTCGTAACACCATTAACATATAGAGTTTTACAACCACCCAACTCTGAATGAGTAGGGCTGCATGGGAAACCGAAATACTCTTATGACACTGACCAAATTGTGTCTCTAGCATCGAGTATCAGAAACTGTCAAGTACTGTCAGATTGTTGATCTTTTTTTCTCTAGTTCCTGATTTTCCTTACAATTGTGGTCATTTCTGACTATGATAAAGAGGAAAGGCAGATAAATATCTTCTTCTTTATTATGGGCAAACAAACACAACGTGTTTCACTTATAAGCCATCAGCAGCGTCATAAAGTCAGCAGAAATGCCACTTTTTAAAAACAGGTGAGATTCAAACAACAGTCAGCAAACTGAATATAATAGCATGAACTAATACATCTATGAACCGTCCATGACCCCACCTGGGTAGTCATGTTTTTGCCCATAATAAACAAAAAGCTTTGTCAGTGCTGGTATCCTGTTTGTTTTAGACTATTTAATTTAGGTAAAGTTCTCATACTGCTGCCTGTGTTTTGATTGAGTTTAACATTTGAGAAATTATTTTGAAAGAATGAATGAAAGAAAACCGTATTGTAGGAAATCATGTGTATATTTGTCAAAGTACGGCTGAGAAAAGTATTATTTTGGAGACAGTACCAAAGCTCAGACATTGTATTGGTACTAGTAATAAATAATTCCAAACGATACTCAGCCCTAGTTTAGAGACGCCTGAAGGCATGATAAAAATTTTACTGCGTCCTATGATGTAATTTTTTTCTTCCTCCTTGTTGCTTTAAACAGGAGCTCACCTGACAAAGAAGGAAGTGGAAGCGGAAAGAAAGGAAGTGTAAGTAGATTTTAGATTTTCAGTAAAAAATCTGTGAAGCTGTTACTGGCTATAAAGGACAATTCCTCACTGTAAAACCAGATAGGAACATTTAACTCCAAAAAAAGTAAGTAGTAAAAAAATAAAGTAAAAGTAAAACTAAAATTACATTTTGTAAGTTAAAAAAACGTATTGATCATGTAGCTTTTAATTTTAAGTAAGAATTCGTTAATTTTGTAATTTGTATTTGTACTGTGAAAACAAAATATTAATAATAATAAAAAGTTGGAGGAATGTTTCTGTAACGTACAAAAACGAAAAAAAACTCAATCAAAAAATCTTTTTTGACCTAAAAAACTGAGTTTGTGCTACTAAAATATGTTCAACAATGTTTTGAGTTAAATGAACTTATCTGGTTTGACAGTGCTGTTTATTTCAACTGGGGTTCTATTTTTTTAGTTTTGGCCATCGTTTCTATTTTGTGATGAGAACTTTGTACTCATCACAGTAACTATCTCAAATCTCAGTAGCTGAGATCTGAAAACTTGACAAGGTCACTAGAACAAAGTCTGAAACAGGAGAATTCAGACAATGAGACAGGTTGTAAACAAGTTTATCTAAACCACTTCTTTTGGAGGTCAAAACAAAATCATTTTGGCCACAGGTCACTATTAATTATTTATACTGATAGGAATAAAACCCACACTATAATAAGCCAGACTCTCCTTTAAATGTCCAGTGTGTAACATTTAGGAGGCAGAAATAGAATATAATATTTGTAGGTATTTTTTTTTATGTATAATCACCTGAATATAAGAATTGCTGTGTTTTTGTTACCTTAGAATGAGCTGTTTTTATCTACAGAGGGAGAGCGTCCTTTTCTTTATGGAGTCTGTCATGTTGAACCGCCATGTTTCTACAGAAGCACACAAGGCCAAACACTGGCTCTAAATAGGGGCATTCACCAAAATTTCTCCTTCGCGCATGGAAGGAGAGGGTGAAGTAAAGCAGTTGTGACCTGCACCTACACCGCTAGATGCCACTGAATCCGACACATTGGTCCATCCCTACTGGACCCTAATGTTCTCCTCCTTTCATTACTCTGTCTTTTCTCCATTTTGTTGCTAGAAAAAGGCCAATGGAGCACCGAATGGCTTCTATGGGGAGATTGACTGGGACAGATATGTAAGTATACACAGCCTAGTCCTCTTTCTAACCAAGCAGCAATTTTGCAGCTTTGGCATGAAGTACGTGTACTGTGCTGTGGCAATCAGTGTCATGTAATGCTAGGTTTAAAATTACTGAGTGAATGCTGTGAATAGAGTGATAGCTGCATATTCTGTGAGTCAGCAGGAGCTTCAGCCAGGAAGCTGACCGTCTCAGGCAAGCCATCTGTGAAATCTGATCCACATTTATATGCAGAGCTGTTCACAGGGAAGAGTTTAGCGATGCCTCTGTTACAGCGTGTGATGGACTTGAAATGACTGTTCTCCTCCCTCTTTTCCAGGCCTCTCCTGACGTGGATGAGGAGGGCTTCAGCCTCCGGCCCGGTGACGAGGGCGATGATATCCTTTTAGTGAAGAGCGGAAGTAGTAGCAGCAGCAGCAGCAGTCTTGGGACTCTTCTCCTGCAAAACTATTGACCTGTTTGGATGAGTGACTCATTGGATGAGTGCTTCTCTGCATTAAATAGGCCGAATCAATAGTCCCTCCCTCTCATGCCACATCACATGTGTACGTCCCTGCAAAAAAAAAAAAGAAAGGACCAGGAAGGAAAGCCGGACAGAGCCACATTACATTCAGAGTGGCTTTGTGTTTCTCATTAACAACTGACCCCCAGTTCACTGGTATTTTAGGTTTTTTTCTCCCGCAGGGGTCAGGAGCTTTATGTTTGAAATGGATTCAGAGTTGGTACTACAGAGACTTCTCCCAGGAAGATTTAGCTTAGACAGAGCAGGAGTGTCAGTTACAGCAGGTGTAATGTTCTTCATGTTTTTAACTGGGACACAGCAGAGTAAGTAAAGTAAAAGTAGTAGTATCACAGTGTAGAAATATACTTAAATAAAAGTATAAAACTATTAGCATCAAAATATCCTTAAAGTACCAAAATAATGCAGTTATTATAATGTAGTTGTAATTACACCTTAAAGTAAAAACTTGAGTAAATATATGTGTACAGTGTGTATTTGATATAAAATGTATTTATCTAATGCTGTAGAAGATCTCCATCTTTCACATCATGTATTGCACTCATTCTACATACCCTTGACTCGCCTTCACCAGCTTCTAAAGGAAAGCAGTTTTCCTCCTCCAGCGACTCCGAGGACGACGAGGACAGCAAGAAAAAGTTCAAAATTAAGATCAAGCCGCTTGTTGCGGACAGCGCCAAGTGTGTCCCTCCATCTATGGACGAGCTAAAAGCCTCGGTGGGAGGCCTGGCGCTCTCTCCATCTCTGGTGAGCGCTGCTGATCAGCACTCTTGTTGTGCTACATAGTACTGAAGGGCACAAATCACACACACTGCAGTTTATATATTGTAATAGCTTTTGAATTCTCTCTGTCTTACACCCTCGCTGTGTTTGTCTTTTCTCCTCACTTATCTTCCGTCATCTTGTAGAAGAGAAGTCCGGTAAGCCCGTCATTCATTTTCACATCTTTCTTACCACCAGCAGGGGTTGCATGGCATGAATTCACTTGGAAAGGCTTATCACTTCCTGTGACAGTTCACTTATAAACTTTCTGCATGCAGTTTCTGTCTCACCCTGAGTGTCATTGTCTTTTCTAGGCCTTAAAAGACCTTACTTCTTTTTGTTGACTTTTTTTCTGTTTAGCTACAGCTTTACTTGAACCTGTCTAGCAAAGCGCCTGTGTTACATAATGCACAGTAAACATAACACACACGCAAAGCTGCAAACCTATTGATTCGGTCTCAGTGGAGTTTACACGCTGAGCGACCTGCTACATTCAGTGTGTGTGACTGTCGTAGGTGATGCTGGTATTGTTCTCATTACCTGAAGGGTGTTATGGCTCATGTTGCATTATTAAGGCTTTGCGGTGCAAGTAAAGAGGTGTGTGCAGTTTTTTAGTTGGTGTCCATTTGACTGATTTGTCACTCACTCTCTGACCCAGGTCTGTTCTCTCTTCCTTTTTGCTGGTCTCAGAGACGCAGCCCGGTGAGTTTCTTACACCATCTGCTGGCTGTTTCAATGCCGACAGCCTGAAACGTAGCTTTCTAATCTCTGCTGCCTGACCTGTTTTTAAAGTAAAAGGATACACAGCAAAATAAGAGTAAACCATCTAAGTCAATCATGATTTAGTATTAAGTCTCAAAATCTTTTTCTTAAAATAAGTGAAAAATATGACTGTGGTGACAAAAATGTATGCATTTGCGACACAAATGAACTTTATCTTACTTGACTTATTCTTACTGCTTTGTTACTGGTTTAAAAAAAATCCACATCTTAAAACAAAATGGTTTGTTTGTGTTGTACACTTTCTCAATGTATGTTTTCTTTGGATTCTATCTTTTACAGGGGCTGATAAAAAGGAATTTGTCCTGTAAGTAAACCGATTTGGAACATTTTTAAATCCTTCCTCTATTCCTTTATTACTGCACAGTAGTGACCTAAATGCTAATATGCTCACAACGGCAATGCTAACATGCTGTTGCTTAGCAGGTATAATGTTTACCATATTCACCTTCTTAGTCTAGCGTGTTAGCATGCTAACATTTGCTAATTAACACAAAGTACAGCTGAGGCGGATCTGAATGTCCCTAGTTTTGCAGGCAGTGGTCATAAACCACAGTAGGGGACAAAACTGAAATGGATCACCAAAGTGATTACAAGGGGAATATGAATGTCTGTATCAAATTCAAATCCAATAGGAGTTTGGACCAGCCAACAGACATTGCCATCCCTAGAGCCACGCATCCATATTAGAGAGGCTAATAATAAGCTTTTTGTGACAGGAATACAAGTGTAACAGAGCACCAGTTGAGTTTTTGATTTGTTTCTCAGGTGAAGAGATTGCGAGACCCAGACGCTCCACCCCCACACCGAGTCCTGCCCCTGAGACACCAAGGTCTGTCATTCATTACCCCTCTCATACAGTCTGTATATTGTTTGTGCTGCTACAGATGTGACTTGAATAACGGTGGAGCAGGAGTTTTAAAAAGTAGAAATAGTTTCTTTCGATTGATTGTTGTATGTCTCTCCTCTTGCAGCGACAGGCTATCGCAAAATGTTCCTGCCTTTTTTGGGCTGCCTTCAGAGACCAAATATGCCAGATACGATGGTCTGTCCTATCGAAAGAACATCACATGAACTAATACTAAGCATGCCATGTAGCAGGAGCAGTTTATAGAGGTGACATGTATGGTTTCTTTGTCATTATCCAATCACAGTGGTCCCTGCTGAAGTATGGGGAGACTCGAGACCACGATCAGACTCACCGCTGAGCAGAAGTTTCCCAACAGGAGGTGATCTGGCATGAATGAACCTCACTTTATGTTCGTTATAGGAGTAATATTAGTATATGTTTGAAATAATACATCTATCTATCTTGGTTGCAGCCCCTCCTCCACTTCCTCCAAAAAACATTCCATCAAGAAGTCATTACGGCTATCCTTCGGACTCTGCTGGTAAATTTAGCTCGGAAAACTTTGTATTTCAGTCACACAGTTCAATCCTACGAGAGCTTTGATCTAAACGCTACCTCAAATTCTTTTTCAGTTGATCTACCCAATGGAAGGGCAGGTCGCAGCTCGGCCCCCATCTACCTGAACGTCCTGTCCCCCGCCTCTTACCGAGGCTCCCCTGCCCCTGACCTGGACGACGTATTTGGCCCCATGGACAGCCCCCGCGCCAGTGAGGACACAGTGTCTCCCAGATGGGTCACTTTCACTGAGGACAGACCCCCGCCGCCTGATGAACCCGCTCCCCCTCCTCCACCGGACTCCCCTCCTCCAGACACGCCCTCGTCCACCCCCTCCACCCCCTGCCTCTCTCCGGGACCACCGCCAAACGAGCCCCCGCCTTCGCCTCCACCGTTTTCTCCCGGGTCTCCTCCTCCTTTCACGCCACCAGACTCACCCCCCTCCATCGTGCTCGGGCCTCCTCCTCCGGATGAACCAGCCCCTCCCCTGCCTCCCGACTTCTCCCCCTCTGACTCACCTCCTCTGTGTCTCGATGATGATGCAATCGATGAGGAGGTGCTGCAGTTTGCGGAGTACTCTTCATCGCCAGCCCCCATCAGCCCCGTGCCCCCTCTGCCAGCGGAGCGGCGGTCTCCTCGGACGGGAGTCATATCTCCCCTGGTCTTGGGAGGTATGGGGGGAAAGAGGACTCCAGAGGGGGTGTACCTGAGAGATGATATCCCAGACTTTGTGGGTTCACCCAGAGAGCTGACTCCGAGCTTCAGGGGCACGCCGCCTCCTCTCCCTCCAACCACCTACAGGTCTATTATGTCTTCCCCAGGGCCCTACTCAGGCAGCAGTGAGTACTCTCTAGTCTGTTTCTGAATGTTTACAATGGCCAATTATGCTGCTTTCACAAAAAGTACAAGCTGAGTATTTAAACTGCGTCCTTCAGCGCAGTCTGTTTGAAAAACTGAGAATGACCCTGCCATCAGTGCCACCTCAAAGGCACACAGGATGCCTGAAAGCCAGGTCCTCTTGCCTATTTGTTAATGTTGTGTTAGGTCTGACCCAGCATTCATCACCACCTCACAAACACAACTTCTTGTGTTTGCTGTTGGTTTTTCAGTAAATATAAACATTATTTATGTTTTTTATAATTGTTTGGCAGATACGACAAAAGAAAGAAATATTATTTTGACTAGTTGTTAATTTAGTATGTGGGAAGCTTTCTTCAAAGCAGTTTTATAAGCTTATAGCGATTGGTACAGGGACAAAATAATATAATATAGGTTGCTACAGTCACCAGAAACAATGATTTCATAAGAGACGAAACACTTAGTTAACTAATATTACTGATATTATATGAACTATTATTGTATCATGCAAGAATGGGAAGAATGTGATCATTTGAGTACAGCTCTTTTAAAGTAAATGCTGCTGGTTAATGTAACTATACATGTTAATTAAGTCCAGCAATTTATTACATTACGAAATTGCATTATCTTCAATTTAAAAGGAAACTTGTAAACGAGATCAAATCTTTATTTGTAACGTCCTATAAAAGTCACATAACTATAAAACACTGATAGCGATGATAACAGAAGTCTTATTTTAGAAATTATATATATAATTTAGAAATATACTAATTTTAGCTACAAACTGACAAACGTCTGGGGAAAAAGCCATGGACATAAGCACAAACTGTATAAACCTACTGTTTTCCTCAAAGATGGGAGGTGCAATAAATTCTGCCATGTAATGTAATATCTGTCCCTCCTGCACAGACATTTGTATGAAGACACTACAGTCTGAACAGGGATCCAAACTAATCCATCCAATTTTGGTTCTGTATACAAAAAAAAATAAAAAACTGTCATACTTAAAATAAATAAACATGTCAACCGCTCTGATTTGTTGAATAGAGTCAGAAGTAAGGTGTGAATCACTTTAATTCATCGTAGAAGTGAAATATGGTAACATATCCCTGCTCCTCAGATAGACTAACAGAGCTTTTTTGAACTCAGAAATGAACACAGATTGAATTTTGGTCACAAGTTACTGCTGGCTGGCATACAGCACTCGCTCTGAGAAAGTGACATGAGTAGAAATGTTGGAGCTGATGTTGAATGATGATCTCTCTCACTGTGATCTGAAGGCAGTGCTAACCACAGACACTGGTATGTGCCGCAGGCCCTTCATCTCCAGCTCGTCCTGCCACCCCTCAGTCTCGAGGCAGTCCGGTCCCTCCGCCTCCTCCTCCTCGACCATCCTCAAGACCAAAGCTGCCCCCAGGGAAACCAATCACAGACCTGGTACATGTGAAGTGTCCTTTCGTTTCTCCGACTCTTTAATATTTAAAGAAAACTGATTATTAATTCTGTATGTTTTTTTGTTAAAAGAAAATCGTCCTTTGGTCATTTTCACTAATGTGTTGTTTTTTCACTCTAATCAAAGTGTGTCTTGTTGTGTACTGTCTCCAGTCTCGGCCCTTCAGTCCACCGGTTTCGGGCAGCCCCCCACCTTTCGCCCCCCTGGCCCGGGCAGAGAGCGCTTCCTCTATCTCCTCCATTACCCTGCAGAGTGCAGCGTCCACTCCAACCTTAGGAAGGGACCTCAACATGTCCACCGCAGGTACACTACCAGCAAGTCATCATGCTCCTTTTTTTCAGCCTCACATCTCAGTCTGTGTTGTCTGTCGCTCATCATCGTGTCCTTGCCTCACAGTCTTGTCCCTTTCCATGATTCTCTCCTCCTCATGTCTCTGCTCACTCAGAAGCCTCACAGCCTCTGGTATGGTTTGACCACGGCAGGTTTTATTTAGCTTTTGAAGGTGAGTCGAGCTAGAACTCTACTGTAGTCTGTAGTAATGCATGGACTGAAAGAACCTGCCCTCCTTCCACCTGCAGTCCATGCTCACTGAGCCAGAATATTGCTGCCCATCCCATCCCGTGTCCTACTCACTCACCTAGAATTTCTAGAGTGTGAGTTTTCCTTAGTTTTGATTTTTTCTGTTTGCTTTTTTGTTTTTACTCCCCTATCCTCTGCGCATAAGCCATAGCTGAACATTGGAGAACAGACACAGTCCAAGGGTAGATTTTTAAAGGTGTTTTTTTATTTTGTGTTTTCAACAGGATGCTCCAGAGGACCAAGTCCGCTCACCATGGGGCCCCAGGACACTTTGCCAGTGGCAGCTGCCTTCACAGAAACCATCAATGCCTACTTCAAAGGCGCAGACCCCAGCAAGTAGGCCCACATTTGTCTTTTGTAAACAGTTGCAATGACCAGAATGCATTGTTGATTGATGCATTGGTGAAATTGAGAAATGATGGAACACAACAGACAGTTTTTGATTTTGTTTTGAGTAGCAAGATGAAGAACTTGTGAGTCTCTTTTTATATAATAAAGATATAATAAGATATAATAAAATGAATACATTACTGGCAGCTACACATCGACTTTGCACTTAATAAATAAATAATAAAGGGATTCTGGGTGTGTATGTCTTTGTTCACCATGATCTCTTCTCTCCCTCTGTCCCAGATGTGTTGTGAAGATCACAGGGGAGATGGTGCTGTCCTTCCCTGCGGGCATTACTAAGCATTTTTCCAGCCACCCAACTCAACCCATCCTCACCTTTAGCATCAGCAACTACAACCGACTGGAGCAGGTCCTCCCCAATCCACAGCTGCTGTGCTGGTGAGAATGACATTACAGGCAAACGCACACAATAGTGCCGCTGCTCTGTGTTTTTAGAATACATAATCTTAAGTATTTAATGAATGTGCCTCTCATCCCTCAGTGATCCCACAACAGACAGCGTGGACACCAAGGAGTTCTGGGTGAATATGCCAAACTTGATGAGCCATCTGAAAAAAGTGGCTGAACAGAAGCCTCAGGCGACATACTACAACGTGGACATGATCAAATATCAGGTATCAAATATCTGTTATGGTCTATGTGTATCGAGTATTTGTCGATCTAATTCTAGCATCTATCCATCCATATATCTAACTTTCTTGTGTTTCTGTGCGTCTCAGGTGTCAGCAGCGGGGATCCAGTCCACTCCTCTGAACCTGGCAGTGAGTTGGCGAGGCGATGCCAACAACACAGACCTTAGAATAGACTACAAATACAACACTGAGGCCATGGCTGCCCCCATGCCGCTACACAACATCCACTTCTTGGTTCCTGTGGATGGAGGCATGGCCAAACTCCAGGCCATGATCCCCCCCGCCACCTGGTAAGGACAGCTCTTGGGGCTCATGTATAGGGGCTAACCTAGCACCATTTACTACCCAGCTGCCAAAATGATGGGATGTTTAGATACTATGTTGTAAATATAAGTTGTATCCGGAAATGTATTATCTCATTTTGGAGCACTGTTTACCATGTGTCTACTTGTAGGAGCTGAGTATATATATGCATAAAGCTGCTGGTTCAATGGCTAGTGTGTAATAGAGATTTTATATATAGAAGCGTTTTTATGTTGTATTTGATAATCAAATGTTTTGTGTATTAGCATGGACTTGGGCCTAATTTATCCTGGCTTCCTATCAAACAACATGTCCTCTATAATGTAGAATTATTTTCTCATAAAGGAATCCAGAGCAGCAGACGATACAGTGGAAAATCCCCAGCCTCTCTCATAGATCTGAAAATGGAGGTAAGTGTTGTTACATAATCTTCTTGTTAAACAAACAGTCTCATTATATTCTCTCTGTGGACAGTAACGGTGTGCAGCTATTTGCTTTGAGGCTAGTGTTTTATTCTCTCATCTAAATGTATCATGTTGCTACACAAAGTAACATACTGTAACAGAAAAAAACAAAACTATCAATACTGTATCTGTGTCCCGCAGGAGTAGGGGCTCTTCTGGGCCGGTTCCAGATGACAGAAGGTCCCTGTAGACCCTCACAGCTGTCAGTCCAGTTCACCAGTGAGGGGAGCACTCTGTCAGGGTGTGACATCCAGCTGGTTGGGACTGGCTACCGGCTATCACTGATCAAGAAGAGATTTGCTGCAGGTCAGTTTGAGTATCAGACATGTGTGTGACCTCCTGTTGTCCGACTGTCTTCATTTTAGAACCAGATTACTCTTTGGTTTAGTCATCTCAATGCACACAGACACTCAAGGCTGAACTTCTCCGCTCTTTGACATGTTTCGTTTTGCTTCACAGGGAAATATTTGGCGGATAATTAGTGGACCTGTTTGTGAACGGAACCAAAAGAATCAATGGCTTTTTGACTGTGAAGACTATGGATCCATCCCATTCGTTTAGTGCATTTGAAACATTATCTTTAGCAACCATTAGAATTAATGGTTGAGATTTAACAGAATAACAGAACATAACACACACAGATGATATTTGACTTTATAACATCATATTCAGTAGACTGACTGCTGCTGAGTTTATGCAAGTAAATACAAATCATTAGTTTTGTGCACTTGGAACACTTACGGGCTTCGAGGAGTAAAATATAGGAAAACCCTGATTCTTTGTTCTTGTTAACATAATTGTGGATTCATACAGTGATCCAGCCTTATTCATTGCCGTTTCTTTTGTCTAACCGGTTGTCATTACAAATGCACCGTAAAAGTTAATGTTAATAGATTATATAGTATTCAAACAATCTTAAACAAGGTGGAAAAGAATGGAAAATGTAAAACAAAATGTGTAGTATAGGGTTGCTTTGCAGTTGTATTAAGTTATAGGTTACATGGTAATATCTGATTTACACTGCCACCTCAAATCAGACTTTTTTTTCTTCACCATGTGTGACCAATCTTTATCGTTGTCTAAGCAGAATTTATGTTTCTGTGTAGACAGCCTTTGAAATGTCACAGCCCATTCTATCAGTCTTGTGATTAAAGGTGACTGGTCAGTTCAAAGTTCAAAATGACCCGCAGCGCTGAACTAACATCAACAGTCTTAATCTGGAGGTGCTTTTTATATGGAATTATATTTGTGGCTCAGTCTGGATCACATGATTGGGAGTTTGAGGACAGTGAAACTTTGCAACCACATGAATTATATTCTCTAGAGAAATTATCATCATGCACATGATACTTTCATTTGAGCAGATAGAATTATATTTTATGCTCAATAAATGTGTTTGTTTGCAGTTATCTCAATAATAACCTATTTCACTCAGTTTTACTAATTTGCCTTATTAAATATTGAATTTAAACAAGTTTTTCATTTAAGTTTAAAGGGGATGTGATTCATATTTTTATATTTACAATTATCACATAAGTACTGTACTAGTAGTGCTTTTGTAGAAATAGATTCCTCATAGTAACAAACCCACAGAGAATTATCACCTGACTAGCGTTCTTTGTTTCTTTACAGCTCTCAACCTTAATGTTTGGGTTCACGCTCACTGCCCTCATAGCATCTCAAAGTTATCAACTAACTGGTGAACATTGTGGAACATTTAGCTTTAAAAAAAAGCCAGATTTCCCCTCAGGAGTTGGTAGAGACGTAATACTGAGCTAAAAGTAAAGTGAATATTGGACTTTCATTTATCAGGTGGCCAGAAACAGGACTCCAAATGAATGCTAATGTTACTGCGCGTCTGCTGGATGTGTTAATCTGTGGCAACTGTTTGCTAACAAGTTCACCATATCAACTTAGAAGTTGATCAAATGTCAGTGTTGTGCTCACAGCTGGTTTGCACAGCCTCTAAGTGGCCAAACAAAGTTTAATTAGTTAAGTTTTTTTTTACTACATTAACGATTGTAATGCCTTGGCTGTTTAGCTGACATTTATCAAGTTAGGCAACTAGCTTAGTTAGCTACTGCATACAGAATAACTAAAGGTTCATAAAGCCATTTATGAATGAAATAAAAAATAATTAAAAGTATTTATACTGTATCTATGTGTGGCTGTGGTGTGCCTGCTTACCATTATACTACCACCAACTTGCCAGATTATTATTGTGCACTTATGTGGATAATAACAAACATGCCAATAAATTCAGTGATCACAGAATAGGTTTTGCTAAACTTAAATTATTTTTGAGTGATAACTTCTCCGCAAAAAAGATAATTTATGTGCGTGCAAAAATATTTCTTTGTGCTCAGAAATCTCCCATCCTGCGGTCAGGATTGAACCACACATATATAATGCTATACTTTTACATGTGCAGCCTTTACCACTACTTTGATGGCATTTTGCCGTTAATGGGTCACGTGAACAGAGAGTTAAAAACAGTTACGGCAGTTTGACCTGCTGCAGAACAAAATCATTACATTACCACTATGGGCACGTGCAATGCTGAGAGATACATCACAGTTCCCACATCACAGGACTTTAGTGGTATTCGTGGTGGTGTGTGAATGGTCAGATTTTCTAACAAAAAGGCGATACTCGTGTGACTAACAGAAGCTGCTACTTTCACTGGAACAGTTTGGTTAATTTATTCCGCTAATGTTACAGAAATTATGCTTGAAAGGGCCTTAAGATGTAAGACACATACAGAGCCAGACGTGAGTGCCATACGGTGGTGAGAAGGAGCTTTAAGTTTCAGGAGAAATGTAGAGGGGACCTGGGCTGAAGATTGTAGGAGTTGCCTTTGATGCTGCTTAAAAACTTGGCCAATTCCTTTGACCATGAACTTTGATAGAGGTCTTGACGAGTATTATCGGGGACATCACAGAGTAATGAAAAGAAAAGTCTATTAAGAAGACAACACTGTTCCCTGTGTCCTGTTTTATTTTCTTCCTTTTCCATCATGTTGAATAAATGTTTTATGATTTTCTAATAGCAATATTTAAAAACTTAAGTGTAAAAAGTGTACATAAAAAGCTATGTTTCAATTATTTCTCTGGGCATATGGATGTGTCTGTGATTGTCTCTTGGTTTATTGATGTCAGCACTCATAATGCATTAGGTTCTATGTAACGACACCACCACTCTTCATCTGTTGTTTTACATGTGGGTTTCTTGTACAAAACAAAGTGTTACTGTTGATGAATAACTCCAAACGGTGCCGCATGAAATCTGCATTTGTCCATCACCAGTCTTATCAATGCAATACCAAGTTATCCATTTCAATAAGGTCATGACTCGTGTGTTATTGTATATTGTGCTATGAGAGGAGACTTTTTGCCTTCACTTAAACCTCCGATCTCTGTTTTGCTGTTATTGCACCTTCAGAAACCCATTGTCAATAAATTTGGCATGTATTCATTGATATTCCCATTCCATGCATTTGATATAGGTGTTTGACATTCTCCTGTGTTTGACTTGCACACAAAACAAACCTTAAATTTCATTAATAAAACAGTTCATGGCTTCATGTCACATGTACACATGTTGATATGTTTTTGAACATCACATTTTATTGAATGTTTTAATGTGTTGACTCACAGTTTGGGCCTGGGTGTAATATTTCATTTAGTTTTTAGAAAAAGACAAAAAAGAACATAGTTTTTTTTCCCCCCAGTTAATTAAGAGCCAGAGTTCACAGTGTTTCTGTTAATAATGCTTATGTTTGCTTTGCCTTATTTTTGAACATACACTGAGTCCTCCAATATGGGTTGGAGGGTTTCTGTAAGTTTATTTTTTCTACAACCTTTTGGCTGTATTCCTTTCACTGCATTAGACACAGAATATGCAAACATTTCATGTAAATTTCCCATCCAAAGATTTTGAAAGTGAATATATGAAAAAAATCAATATAATGTAATACCTGTTTTACTTGGTAATAAAGAAGAGGAAATATGAGACATTTATCTCCCTCTCATTTGTTCAAAGATATAAAAGTATACTTTGGGGGTATTGGCCAGACTATAAAAGTACAAGTGAGTCTCTCAACCTGTTTTCACTGTTTGACTAAGAATTATGATTATTCATTATAATTTATTATTATTTATTTAGTTGCACTGGGTCAGGTGGGCCATCGGGGAGGAGAGGGTATGGGGGCATTATGAAGAGAAGTCCTTAAAGCGTTCAGAAAAAAAGCAGGAAATGTGAAAACCTACAGTTCTACTGGGTAAACTCCATGCTGACGAAGACCATGTGGTGTGATCGACAGCTCCAGAATAGCTACTACATTGTGGATGGGATTGTTTCTCAACTGCTGCTGATGATCTACACTTAGGTCCTCTTAGTGGCCTAGCTTTTTCAGGAGCTTTCATCTCGCAGTCTTCACCAGCACACGGAGTTATAAGAATAAGTAAAATGAAATGTAGTGGTGATGCCAGCTGATGAAAACTGTCACATGTGGTTAAGAACTAGTAAGTGCACCTTTGGTTATGATGGATGAGCTCTTATTATTATCTAATGATTAGGCTGTTAGTCACTATCACTGTTAGGGAAAGGCACCAATGAGCTCACACAGCTCTCTAGCCATAACTTTGGTCTTTTTTTAACCTTCAATGATTTGTAACGTCATTACTAAAAGCAGTGGACGTCACGCAGCCAGCAGCACGCTCGTGCATGAAACCCCGCCCACTGACGGATGGTTGCCATGACAACACCAAGCTCCACCGTGCTCTGCTCGTCCCAGGACGTCCTGAAATCGGTAAAAACATCGGTAAAAACGTGCTAAATTCCCCTCAGTAATGTTTGTGTGTGACCCATTTGACACGGAATGATCTGTGAAGCTATACTATTAGTAAAGTTATTTAAAATAAGGTTTACAAACGATTCCTAACAGCTAACTTCACGTTATTTGTAAGTTAACCTAAACCTACCCGGAAGGCTTTAGGCCTGTGTATTCATGTATTCTTACTTTATTTTTACCTTTTTTACAAACGTAACTTTCCTTGTGAGTTTTCCTTATCGACTTAGGAAATAGGAAATATGTGTTTTATACGCGATATCCTCAAGTGTTGGAGTTACTGTATCTGTTTAAACTAACTAACACTAGATATTAATTAAGCTAACGTCAATATATTTAGGTGATCATCCGGTAAAGACAACCTAAAGGAAGGGGAAAGTGTCATGTCTGATCTGCTTAAAGAAAAATCCCTAAAAAGAGAAAAGAGGACGGGCAAAGCGCCTTCAGAGGGCAGAGGCAAAGAAACAACTGGCAAGACTAAGGAGTGAGTAATATCCAGCTTTTATCATTGTTGTGGTCAGCTTTATTAATAATACCAAAGTGCCATAGCTTATGATGACTGATGAAAGTATTCCCAATACACTATGTTTGGTTTAGAAGTTGTAGTCAGCTCTTCTTACATTATTACTTATGTGGAGGTCAGTGAACCGCAGGTCACACGTACAGTGGCCCTGTTCACTTCCATCACTCTGATCCTGTGTTTCAGCTCTATAAGTACAGTGTCGTGTATAGATGAACTAGGACACCATGATGACAATGCTCGGATGGCTGTAACAATGGAGAACACCTACCAGCTGGGTGAGATAACGTTCACCTGAGTGCAGCATCGTACACAACTACTACACTGATCCACTGCGACTGTTTGATACAACCGTGTTTGATTTTGATTCTTTAAGAGATTTACCTCATCAAAATATATCGCAGATGTGTCTATTTTGTAGAGACCTCAGTCTCACTACAACCATACACCAAGGCACTGGTTTAAATAAGGACATTTTACAGAAATTGTGTTAAACTACAAAAAGGTTAGCAGATTACTAATTCTTGAGGGAAGTTGAACAAGACCAGAAACATATCAAAGAAGTGGACATTTTTATGCAATATGAATTGATTTTAAAGCGCCATAACTTCCCAAATTTAAATCAATGCATTACAATACTTTTTACTAATTGCATAAGAAGTCAAAGTTATTTACCATGGCGTTGTTGTCTTTGTTTTTTGGACCACAGGACCTTACAAACGCTTCCCTATTCCTGCTGTCACAGACATACTGAAGGATGTACTCACCAGTTACCTCCAAGAGGAGAAATATGAAGTAGAGTGGTCTCAAAAAATGACAAAAACAATATGTGAGGTAAATAAAACTGAAAAAACTAATTCATGGCATGAATACTTTCTGTTCTATCAGTTTCATTATTTGTATTTCCTCTCCTAGGTGATAAGAGCCCGCGTGAAGGACCTCATGATTCCCCGATATAAGATTGTCGTGCTGGTCCACATCGGCCAGCTCACCGGGCAGAGCATGCAAATCAGCAGCCGCTGTCTGTGGGATGCATCTAATGACACCTTCGCCTCTTACTCCTTCAAGAACAGCTCTCTGTTTGGTGTGGCATCTGTCTACGCTGTTTACATTGAGTGAATCATGTAGACATTGGATGGACCCACACAAGATTCACTTTAGTCATACATTTCTCACAGTGAGGAAGAGATTTCTGCTATTGAAGAGTTCTTTATTTTATTGTATATTTTGTCTGAATAAATGATTAAACAAGGAGTGAATTCATGGTGTTTTTTTATTTTTTGCTAGCATGGAAAATTAAATCACATTTTTCTGACAATGCTCTGAAAATGTATATATTTTGAACTAATGAATGACTGTGACAGATCGATGATGACCCGTTGGGATTTCCCCCTCTAGCAGAGCATGGAGAGGTCACTCCTTCGACAGCCTTGTTCGCAGCACTCTGATATTAGTGCCTGGTTTAGGTCCCGCCAGTGACGGTGCATCACTGGCACATCTGTCGTCTTCAGTTTTGGCTCTCTGCTTCCTGCCAAGAGATATTGTTCACCTGGAATCAGGGCTGTCTCTTATTTGGCTTACAGTAAAGTTAAAGTATTAAAGAATTCAAGTGACCACGTTCTCACCATCTCGAAACGTCTCCTCTTCTCCCATCAGTCTCCTCCACCTGGATCCTCCACAGGTGTAGACCACTGCCCGCAGAAATGCCCGGCCACACAGCCTCAGTGTGTTATCCTCTGTCTGTACCTGTGCCACACATAACGTGCACAGCAGCAACGCAAGCAGGATTAGGGATCTCATTTCTGCTGATGTTCTGATGTCTGTATTCAGAAATCCTCTGTTCTGATCGAGCCTTTTATGCAGAGTCTCCACTGATGTCACACACTTTCCAAGGTCTTCCTCAGGTGATTCCTGTGTAAACGGTGTCTGTTATCTTTGGTAACCATCATGTGCTTTTAACAACGGATGTCAATCTGGTCATTTGGGATATGTGTGGGAATCTAGGCCATTGTTATGATCACTGATAACTACATTTTTGTAAATGTTAAAGAGAAAGAATTGCTTTTTTATGTCCCAACTGCAGGGTTTTTATTGCCATGGATTTAGCAAAGTGTTGCCTAATGGATCGCTTGAGATATCTGTCCTACAACAAACTGAGGTGATGGCTCTCTACATAGCAACATAGTGGAGCGTGTGTTCACTATCATGAACATAAATCAATGATTCCAAGAAGAGATAGCTGCATTAACCGGAACATTTGTTGTTATATTGAACTGTGTCACGGAATAGTCATTTCCGGCTGGGTGAGGCATAAGCATAACGAAAATCAAAAACATAGTTTTTATTATGAAGGTATCCTAATTCAAGAAGAGTGTATTCTGGTATAAAAAAGTCAAGCTAATGGAAGTTAACATTTTTGTATTTTGATTAATGAAGTAATTCTTCTTCTCTTCAGTGTAAATGGTATTTTGAACTTGGATCAGTGAGACTTTTTGGCCTATGTCACTTTAAACATTAATATTACATTGTAAAATGGGCTTGTTCTCTATGGCGTTTGGTGGAGGAAAACATTTGTTACATATTTTAGATTGTACTAGTAGTAGTAGTATTAATGTAGACCTACACACTCATCTCACATTTTTGATATTCAAGGTCAAGGTATGAAGGACCAGTAACCACCCAGGGACAAAGCTTTTTTTAGGCAAAACTATGGCATTATGGTCAGAGGCCCCTGAGCGGTAATCCACCCTTCAATTAACCTCTTCAGTGCAGCTGCTTTTGCAGTATAAAAGCACTAATAATTCACTAATTTCACTGAATATATTTAAATTTGTCATTGTTGGAAATGAAGGTCTAATTCATAATAATAAAAAAAGCTGTCAACATCATGTAAACTACCCCAGCCCACTTAGAGCACTAAATATCAGCTAATGACTTTTAGCTTTTTCCCAACTTTATTTATTGTGTGAAATACAGTTTGAACGTTCATAATATGCTAGGTTTGAACTTGTTACATTATATAAAATGTTCACACATGGCTCTCTCTGCCTATCTGGTATCTTAGTAATTATTTTGCCATTTTTATTGTCATTGCATTGAATTTAATTGATTAGATGTAATGAAAAACCTGTATATGTACATGTATCGTTTGATAATAGTTGTTTATGTATATTATATTCCATGAGTACCACAGAAACATCCACGCTTTGGCGGTGCACGACGGAGACACCGAGGCGATGTTAGCAGAGGAGCGTTACTGCGGGTGGGCGGGGCTCTACATCCGGGAACTACCACTGAACCCTGACGTGACCCTGCAGGATTGCAAACATGGCGGAGGTAAGAAAGTGAAATAAATATTAGGAAAAAAAAATATTTTATACCGCAGGATAGTTCGTTCAGTCGAATGTGTATACCGTCTGTGTGCCATAGCTTTAATACACGAATGTAAGAATCCGCTGTTTGCGTGGCTAGATAATGGATATTTCTTGACACAAGCATGTTTAGTAAACTTCGGATTTAGCTAACGTTAGCCGAGCTAGCCCAGACGGAAGGTAGCTGCGGCGTTAGCGACGATACTTGGCGGTTTTGTTTAAGAATACTTAACTATCCTTTTCAGCGTTTTTAATTACACGTGTGGCAGTAGTTTCATGGTTACAGACATTTCGTGTGTTGTTGTTTTTAGCACAAGTTGATGGCTGTTGATGCGAAGCTTAACTTGGACGCGTTAGCTAAATATATAAAGGAGGATTAGCTTGTAATTTGTATTCTGAGTTAGCCAGTGGAGTGAATTAACCCAGTAAGCACTCGCCACTTGCAGCTAACTGGTTGAATGCAGGCGGTAAACGCCACTGTTCACATGATAGTCACAGTCTGGAGATGGAGCCTCAATTCTCCCTCAGGAAGTGGTGACAGTCTTCTTTGTTTCTTTTCTTGTTAAACTGCAGTCAGCTTTTAGGGCACAGGGTCGGGCGCGCTTTTTTCCATTTGCGTTCCCCTGCAGGACTAACTTGAATAAGTGAAACACAGCGGCGAAGCGTTTCCTGTTGTACTCGTAACGAGATATTTGCCTCTGAAGTTGTTCTTTAACTTTATTTATGTTCTTCTTTTCCGTTTTCCAGTCCTCCCTCGGGAATTCGAGCCCAGGTACATACAGTTGGAGCTTTTTTTGTTGTTGTTGTTTGTGTGTTGTGGCATAGGTTTGAAATCCGCTGTCCAAACTATTATAGTATATGTATAATATGTACTGAATTTGATGCTTAAAGGAACTAATTTGGTCAAAATTTAAAGAATGGAAACTACTGGATTGATAGTCTCATACTTTAAGTCCTGTATGATATAAAGTTATTATTATTTTACACAGTAATAAAAAAATATATAATAATAGTTTTATATATATATATATATAATAAGAATATGCACAGGAGAAACATAGTGCAAAAAGTAGAGTGTAAAAGTATAAAAATACAATAAGGATTAATAAAATAAAAATATTAAGATATAATAGAAGTATAAAATATAATGAAAATATATACACTATATGCAGCAGGCAATAAAGGAATATGGTCTGCAAAAAAAACAATATGTATAACAGTGTATAACTAACTGTACATGTACAATTATAACAAGATAAGGGTTGGATGATAAGCTTATATAATACTGTGAAACAATATAAAGTTGTCTACCATCAGAGTTTTAGCCATACTGTTCATATCTGAAGTATCAGTCCCTGTAATTTTTCTGACTGAATTAGGCCAAGTGTGGACAGTGGTGTAAATCAATGAGGAGGATTACTATATATTACTATTATCATGTTAGATTTAAAGGATTTTTGCATCAGTGTGGCTTTGATTTTTGGTAAGCAGTTCCCTGGATGTGCCAAAATTAGACATTCCCATCTGGAAGTTTTATCTGTAAGAGGTTTAATTGAGTTTTGATAAAAATGTACAATAAATAATTATTGCTTTAATTTTTTTGGGTTACTTTTCAAGGAGGTTCGGCAGGTTCCGATGACCATGATTTCGACCCATCAGCAGATATGCTTGTTCATGACTTCGATGACGAACGCACCCTGGAGGAAGAGGAAATGCTGGAGGCATCAGATGAGACCAACGCCAACGAGATTGAAGATCTTGCACGGGTGAGTTTCAGGCTTTGAGCTCATTTCTGGTTTTGTCAGCTCTGTCTGGTAATATACTCAGCATTTTAACAGTCTTCTCAAACAATTTGAGAATAATGGTTCTGACTTTTGAATTTTGTTCTTAACATTTAGATCAAAATGATTTCATTTAGGCATCAAATCTAGGCGTAAGTTTAATTCATTGTACAGTTTAGGAATCATTGTCACTTCACTTTCAACAGGAAGGAGAGATGCCCATTCATGAGCTGCTGAATCTGTATGGTTATGGCGGTGGTTCACCAGCAGATGAGGATGAAGAGGAAGAGGAAGAACCTGAGGAGGAAGAGGATGATGAAGAAGAGGATGAGGAAGAGGACCTAGACAATGATGAAAGCAGTAGAAGCACTGGCGAGTTGAAAAGAAATGAGGTACGTGGGTGTTTGTGATATGGTTTCCATAAACTTAATATGTTTGTGTCTGGTCTTGACTGTAACTTTCGGTGTGTTTTCAGGGTGAGGGTGTTAAGAACTCATCAGGACAGGAAGATGAGGCCCAGGCAACGTCTGAGGGCCGCACACGCTCTGTCAGGTCCCTTGGCACAGCAGAACTTATTCGCCCCCAAAAACTCAAGTACTTTGAAAGTATGAATCATCTTACCTCATTTTCTTTCTCTTCTTTCTGCTTGCTGCAACTAAATTGTATGTGCTGATGTCTGTATGAGAAAATACTGCAGATATTCTATTGGGATTTATTGTTCATTCGTTGTGTCTAAGGTAATAATGATGCAGAGGAGGAGTCGGATGAAGATGAGGACTATGTTCCATCTGAGGACTGGAAGAAGGTAACTTCATTTTTCAGTGTCAGACACTTGTCCTCTTACATTGCAGTGGGATTTAAACCACACTGCTAAAAACATTTATCAGAACAAAGAGGGCATGGTTTGTTTAAAATGCTAAACATCTGGATCAGTAGAATTTAAAGACTGCCTGCTAAATATCTCAGGATCTGGAGCATGTGTGGTGTCAGTTGACGTTTGTCTAATCCTTTTAGACTTTTAGAAATACACAGCTAATAAAGTCAGCTGTCACTATGATGGATGTATGGCTTCAGAAATACTCTGTGCCCACTGCACATATGCTACACTGACCTTCTCAAACAGAGTTATGGTTTCATGGTGTAAGGACAAGTATCAAAGATGAAATTAAACCCTTGTCTGTTTTCTGTGATGCAAGCAGGATTTATGTGTTATGAGTCTAAACTGTGTGTGTGTGTGTTCCCAACAGGAAATCATGGTGGGCTCCATGTATCAAGCAGAAACTCCTGTTGGCCTGTGTAAATATAAAGACAATGAAAAAGGTAAGCTGGCTGTTTGTTGTCTCACTGTAAACATTAATATATTTAAGTTATAACACAGTGTGTCCTTTCTGGGTCCAAAAGAACTGAAGATGGTACAGTAGACAAAAGGTTAATGTGTTTTTCTATGAATTTGTCCTGTAGTTTATGAAAATGATGACCAGTTGTTGTGGAACCCGGAGTGTCTTCCTGAAGGCAAAGTGGTGGAGTTCTTGACGGAGGCGTCAAGGCGGACGGGAGAGGAGAAGGGTGTGGATGCCATCCCAGAGGGATCACATATCAAAGATAATGAACAGGTGAAAGCAATATATTAATACCTGTACTGAAAGATAAGACTGACCAAAACAAACAGAAAATGGATTCTACTATTGTCTGTGGAGCCAAATCCTGATATATCTTATTTCTCTGTGTTATAGATTGTTGTCCAATAACCCTTTAAAAATAAAAATCAGTGCGCCACGCTGTGACAATGGCGGACATGTTCATTCATTACAATGAAGTTAGCCACTTTAATTTACTTTGAGTCACCAAATGTGTATCAATCTGTGGCTGAAATGCATTATTTAAGCCTGTTATAGTAAGTACTGAGCCTTTTAAAAATGAACAGTATGTTTTAGAGCCACTTTTAATAGAAAGGAATGGGCTTGGACAGGGCTTCTCCAAGGAGTACAAAGAAATTCAGAAACAGTAAAAATGTCCCTGGGACAGGGTATGGAGGTTGAGATGTGTTGAGAGATGGACTCATATGTTGGTATTTTCATGGGTTTGTTGACAATAAGAAAAATGTTGAATAACACCTAGGGTTGTGCCGATGGATGACCGACATCACGATGGAGAGCCACCATCGTGATGCTACGTCCCCCACCCGGGGGGAGGGGGGGGGGTATGACCCCCTCAGATTCATAGTGAACACCCCACTGTCCTAATAAGGTGACAAACATCGCCGGTAAAACGGAGGAATTAATGTTCGTTAGTTAGTACTAACTTACATAGCAGCGCACATTGAGAGCCGGCGTTTTGTTGTGCTACGACTAATGGTGCTTCCAGTTGTGCACGAATGTCGGAATTTCGAGCTCCAAGTCAGAATTTTAATCGAACCCCCCGTGAAGTGGATTCCCAATCGGAAGTCGGATTAATCTCACCAGCCATGACATAGAATTTCATGCTATTGTACTCACTTAAACATAGTTACATGTTTTGTTGTAGTTTGTTGAGCTGGGAAGCGATGGGAGCACTAACTTTCGGGGTTACGTTGGCTCCAAGTCAAGTTCCAACTTTCAGTGTAAATTGACACACCATAAGGCAGACTCCCACTCCTACAGGGTCCTAAATGAGGAACTGGTAGCTGCGCCTGTGCCTGTTGCAGGTGATCAGACGACCATTGTCTACTATGACAGAGCCGGGTGGCCTAGTAAAATAAAAAGTGCTTACCCCCCCACGACGATTTCATCGTCCATCACGATGTTTTACTGTAAACATCGTCCACTGCCAATTTAGGGGACATCGTCCAACCCTAATAACACCATAATTATGCTTTAAATCAAATGAGTGGTGATCATGCTGTATTACATTTGAGTAAACTTGTTTGATCATGTGTTTCCCTGTAGGCATTATATGAACTGGTGAAATGTGACTTTGATACAGAAGAAGCTTTAAGAAGACTTAGGTTTAATGTAAAAGCAGCCAGAGGTAAGTAGACAGTGAAGTCCTGCATTATATTTACCTTCAGTTGTCTCTGATGCAACATGTTTGGGGTCAAATGGCTCTTGACTTGTCTTCTCTCTTTAACAGAGGAGCTTTCTGTCTGGACTGAAGAGGAATGTAGAAATTTTGAACAAGGACTAAAAGCTTATGGCAAAGACTTTCATTTAATACAGGCCAACAAGGTAAGAGAAGTGTTTCAAAGCCACAGTAATTAACCATTTCTAATTCATATGTCATGACCATATATTGTTAATGTCAAAATGATTTTAATACTCATGACATGGATTTGAATTGTATGTTGTTGTGTTTGTTATGTGGCTGTTGGATGCACATGGTTGGAATCTGCTACATTTCAACCTTGTTGCATTTTGAGACAAATCAAATTTTTTTAATTTGTACAGTGTTAAAGTGTCTGTAGATGATATGACTTTTGTCAGTCCCATGCAATAATTTGATTTGTCTCTTCTGTGAAATTGCAATGAATCAATCTCTTCAGACGATGGTAATAATGGCTATTTCATGTCTGCTGAATTAAATCTTTCAGGTGAGAACTAGGTCTGTAGGAGAATGTGTGGCCTTTTATTACATGTGGAAGAAGTCTGAGCGTTATGATTTCTTTGCACAGCAAACCAGACTTGGGAAAAGGAAATACAACCTTCACCCTGGTGTCACGTAAGTTAAAGATTATTGTTCAAGTAATTGTACATTTCTGTTTCAGGTTTATGTGTTTGGTTATGTCTGTTGTTTCTAATGTTTCATGATTCACAATTATTGATGTAAACATTTTGTTTTTGTGTTAAGTGGCGCTCTTTTTGCATCAAGTTTTGTTCAAAGTGAGTTTCCCTTTTTAGAAAACAAAAGGTGATAACATATCTCAGTAGCATTGCAGTGGATTTTAAGGTGGTGGATGGAGTTACATTCAGAATACATGATAATAATGTGGCAGGATCATATATATATATATATTAGATAGGGTACTGTGGTACTTTTACGTGAGTTTATTGTTGTTTGTGTAGAATCTGAGATGATCTACTCCTGTGGAGGTATCCCGTGTATTTTTAGGTCTCAAAAAAACAAACGTATGCATGTTTAGTGCAACAAGAAGCTTGTATAAAACACTACAATTCAATGCACAGTATTACATGCTAACTAGAACCCACTTGCCGTCACTGTTGCAAAGAAACGACAGACCAGACTACCTACACTTAGGTAGTATTTCATATCAAGAGGTGAGGTTGTGTGTAACGGAGTGTGTGCTGCTGTGTGTCATCAGAGACTACATGGACAGATTACTGGACGAGACAGAGAGCGCGACATCCAGCCGAGCGGCGTCACCTCCTCCCACCACCTCCAGCAGCAGCGCCAGCCATTCGGAGAGGGAAGACAGCAGCAGTCAAAACGGTGAGCTGGTGAACCGAGTGTACTTGTATGAGTGCACACACAAACCGTTATTAAAGATTTCAAATTATTAAACTTATCTTTTTGTATCGTTTCATTTTCACATAGTAAACATCACGTCTGCGTGGATCACCCAAAATTTATGATGACATGGAAATGTTTGTTGATGACTCAGAGGAGCGAATAAGTTATTTAAAAAAAAAGTACATACTGCTAATGGTATCTAGCTGTCAGTTTAGTTTTGATTTTGTTTTCCCAAGTTTTCAGATATATGTGTTAGGTTTCTGCCTCCACCCCATTACAGAGGGAATTAATTTAACTTTTGGTGTACCTAGCATTGGCAAAATGTCAGCAACAATATCTCTTTTCATAATATCCCACAATGTCAACAGTTTTAATGGATTTCTTAGGTAGAAAGTAGTTCCACTGAACACAGCAAGCACCACAGATAAAATCCTTTTCACCTCTATTGTATTCTGAGAGACAATAATTCTATTAGTTAGCTCAGTCGGTAGAGCTGGCGACCCATAAACGCAGCGGCCCGGGTTCGAGTCCGACCTTCGGCCCTTTGCTGCATGTCGTCCCCTCTCTCTGCCCCCCCTTCCCTGTCTCTCTCCAGCCATCTCTGTCAAATAAAGGCATAAAGGCCGAAAAAAAATAATACTTTAAAAATATTCCTAACTGTGGTGGATGGTGCCACAACTATAATGACAGTAGCCAGCGATATTGTTGGGATCACTTTCAGATGAACAACTTATTAAACACTTCTATAAGGCTGCAAAACACTTAAAAAAGTCTTTGACGCTGATGGGCTCTCTGAAGTTCATTTGGTCTTTGACGATCGCCAGACTCTCATGAAAGCATGAATAAAACTCCTACCTGCTCTCATCTTTGAAGAACTTTGTGGACTCCTATTCTTCTGTTATTGTTTTGTTCCAGTATTAACAGCCATAAATATATATTTTCCTATTAAGCTGCTGACACATTATCGGTCATTGGTGTGAATACTTGCCTCGTTATAGTTATTGTTTTTGGTGTGGATGACATTTGGTAAATTAAATCTCCAAAAATGTGCACGGCTAGATAACGCTACAGTTTTTATAGTCTGGGCGATTCTCAAACCACTCATTTTTCATTGTTATGTGACAGGTATTGCAAGCCACAACTCAAGCCACCCGGTGGATGGCACTCATTTGCCCCCAGTGAATCAAGTCAAACCTGAGTCAGTTCAGTCCAATGGTCCCTCCCATCCGGTAGTGGAAGCTCCTATTCCCATTTCGGACAACAACTCCAACGGCTGCAGCGAACCCAGTGCGCCCAGCCACGACCGAAATGGTTCTCTGGAGCCTCCGCTGGACCACAGAGACACAGCAACAGCACATGAAAGGCCGGCCAAGAGATGCAGGACGGAGGCCGAACCATTGGGCCAAAGTGAGGTTGAACCATCCAGAGCACAGGAGAACTGAAGCATCCAGAGCTTGTGATGTTGACTAAGAGACGCTCAGTTGGGGTGAAAAAATTGGCCCCACTTCCCAGCTTATGGGCAGAGGTAAGGGGTGATGAGCCAGGTGAACCCCTCTTGGCCCATGAGCGCAGTGTCTCCTGAGAGCAAAGACTCACTCTTTAACAAGGTCAAAGGTCACTGAAAGTCACACCTTGAATAACACAGCCAACCAAACTGCAGCTAGTCCTCTAGGAGGGGCAGTGGGCCCCCCGTGTCCCCGTCCCTCCATCCCATCCATGTACGGACTGCCTGCAAAGCTCATCCCAAAGTACCACAGCTCCATCGTGTCCTACAAAACATCTTCTACTCATCGTCTTTATTCCCTCTTTGGAGACTGACTGACAAAATTTTGCCAAGAATTTCCTTTTTCTATTTGTACTCAAAGAAAATAAATCACCCGTGATATTTTTTTACACAAGAGATATTTATATTTTTTAACAAAAGAAAACTATGATGGGTAATTGCTGTTCAAGCTATTTGAACGTTTGATGAAACGTGACATGTTTTAACCGATTACGTGCTTAAGTTGTCAACAAGTAGGCAAACACAAGATGAGTAAGGCTGGTGCTGTCGCCGGCCATCTTAAGTTGCACTTTGTATGTTTCTCATCTTTATTGATAAGGAGTGGTGTCGAAACCCAGCAGAAATACATTTTCACTCCTTCACTTCTGAACCCGCTCTATCATGGCTGTTTGTTTGGTTATGATAAATAAACCAGTGGGTTAGTCCCCCTGCAGGTTTGTTTGTGTAAAGCAGCTGACATCAGTGATGTCCTGTATTATAACTCATCATGTAGAAGATCGCTGTATTTTTGGATTCTCATGGTCAGTGCTTTGCTCAACGCTTTGTTTTTACTAGACAGAATGTCCGTGATTTTTAATGTAAAGTTTGTATAGATTTCTTACCTTGAGCAGTTGGTACATTTTTTATAACTGTCTGTCCATCTTTGTATTTTCTGGTCTTCCTTGTAGGCTGTGCTTTTTGTTGAGATGGATGTTAATAAAAAAAGTAGCCATTCCTTTTTCCCTCTCTGTTCAGCAGCACTTCCCATTCCTGAGTGATCCTGCTCAATCTGAAATGTTTTTCATCTTTTGTGCGTATAAAAAAAAGCCACACATTGTGGTCGAGTGTGCTGCTTGCCTTCGGTTTAAAACCTCTGCTGACTCCAAGTGCTTAGTTCCAACCACTATTTACTGTCTCTTCAGTAAGTGGCTACAGAGCCGTGGATTTCCAGCTGTCTAACAGAACAGGTTGACGTGGGCTTGTGAGCTGGAAGACCTTCATTTGTTTTGGTACACAGTAGCTGTTCAGCTTAATGCTTAAGTGTTTTACTTTGTACTCCAGCTTTGAACTTACATTCACAAATTTAAAGATAAGTTTGTCTCAGATAATGTTGATCCATGTAGTCTTTTCTTTCCCTTTGTTGACCATTTGTTTTTGTTTTTTTTCTCTGTAAATGACGACATGAATAAAGTGTATTCCAAGACTGGCTATGAATGGAATTACATTGGCTATATTTAATAAATGTATTAATGAGTCTGAGTTGTTGTATTTTGAGTTTTTAAACTGCGGAGTTGGAAAGCAAAAACACAACACTTGATTCAAAGATAGGTTTTATTTAATTTTTTGTCTTTTTAAATACAATATTCACAAGCCATATGTATGTTAAAATGATTCTTTTCCTCACCTGCTATGAAACAACCCCTTCCTAATGAGACTAGACATTACAGTGTTTTGTCTGGACAACACCCAAGTTCAGCTAAGCTTCATTTCAACTGAAAGTAGTTTCACACAAAGGAGATTTTGTCAACATTTTCTAACAATAATTTGTGTTAGAAAAGAATCAATTAAAAGCTAGTGTAGAGAAAAGGGAATGGTCACAGTGATAACAACTCTGGCATGTGAATATTGTATTAAAACAGAATTGAGAAAACACCCAAATCCTTAGATTTGATTGATTTGTTGAATATAAAAATACTTATTACTTTACATTTAATCAGTAAAATACAGTTATAAAAAAATTAAGGCACCTTTCTTAATTATAGATACAAAAGTTGATAACAGTGTCTCATGTTAAAACACTAAACAGCATGGTTTAAAACAGCATGTCTCCACATACAGTACAAAGACAACATGAAGTGTGTTGCAGACGTACGTAGTTCTTCAGCGTCGGCTCAGGGCTCCGTGGTTTACGCCTTTTCTGTTAAATTTGATCCAAAACATTTCAGAAACCTGCAGCTGTGCATATATTACAGCTTGTTCCAAACTAATGACAAACACAGGTAAAACAAAACCTGATGTAACACTTTAAGAGAGGTTTCGATTCCCATTCTTTGAATTGTTCTTACTTGTTTGCTCCTGTGTGAAGGTGATGTAGGAATACACCAGGCTCCCAGCAATGCTGTGGGAAACAAAAAATCTGTTGAAAACACCAGCTCCACAACAGCTAAATGTAAACAGTGTGTGTGTGTTACCTGATGTTTAGACCTATGAAGTTAGTCCAGGTGAATATGTAGTCTCCACCAAACACCATTCCAATGTAGGTCACAAGGATATTCTGCAGGAATCAGTCAGTGTCACTGCACACATCTGCATTCATGAATCTCAGCAGCCCACAGAAGGCAAGACCAGCGTGTAATGACTTACCTTAATGCAGCCTATGATGGAGGTGGTGAGTGCGGAGTTGTACTGCGTGCACAGCATGATGGAGTACATTAAAATGAAGCTGTACGACACATTGAAGAGGAATTAGACAAGAGCAGCGATGTGGGATATGACCTATTAACCAATGATGGATCTAGAGTTTACCCCATGACGCAGGAGAGCACAAACTGCACAACAAACAGCTGATCGGTCCATCCATTATACTCCAACGCCTGCACGCAAACACACACACACACACAGAGGAGATTCTCAGCCCTAACTTCAGTTGTTGGACACTAAACTATAAATACCAATTTGTGTTAAAACAACTTACCGTTTGTAAGTCCCCTGAGTAGTATGCGTATGCCATGGTGGGGACAATCATGATTAAAGCATTGTAGTAGAGGAGCCCATATTTGCCCAGCTCCTGTGGGAACAGCAGTATATATTATTATCCTTTAGGAATGATGCAGCAGCGGTGAGGTAGTGTGATCAGCAACTCCGCTCACCTTGGAATCAAGTTTCTGCTTCACATACGCCCCGCTGGCCGCTGTCAGAACATTGTTGACCATTACGAACACATATCCTTCAAGGTCAAAAGCTAAATCAGTGCTACGAAAAAAACAAAGAAAAAACAGTGAGAGTGAGATGCATGTTCACACCTTCTGCCTGTGAACCGGATCATAAAGTATGTGGGTGTGTGGCCGTCTCACCTGGCGGCAATAAAAGCACCAAAGATCATAGTAAACACTGTGGTTTTAACCAACGTAGAGTACGTCTTTCTGTGAGGAAAGGAAATGGGTTTGCGGTTGTTAAAATCATTCATTTGCAGGTACAAGAACATTCTTGTTAAATGTTGCCATGGAAACATGAAGCTTAACTTACTTCAGCAAGAGTCCCTCAAACACCATGGTAAGAAAAATACTGAACCTCCTCAAAACTGTAAACATGGGCAAACTAGGAGAAAGGAAAACATGGTATATATTGTGGTTCCATATTAAACAAAAGATATTTCATTGAATATAATAATACGACAATTAATAGATAACAAGCTCTAACTTAAGCCGCTGTGTCCCGAACAGCCCTGATACTTGATTCCCGACATACAGCAGAGGCAGTGGAAACATCTGGAAAGACACACAAAGAGGCAGTAGTTTTGTTTTTTAATGACATTCTTCTCATCATCGCGTGTTTGAGTCCGAGAGAGAGAAAGACTTCAGATTCTCACCTTGCGCGGTATACTCAGATCCATATCTGGAAACGAGATCACACCCAACATTTTCCCCATCCTCAGAACTACGATTGTAGCCAGCATCTGCAGAGTTATTGAAGCAAAGACTCAGTATGTCGGGCTCTGTGTAGGTGAACAGGAAGGATCTGTGACTCAACTTAATACAAAACTTACTTGGCCGATTCCGACGCATGTTGACGATGGAAATCTGAAATATAATATAAAATACTCAACATTAGCTGCATGTCAGCCTCTGGTTTACTTCCCTCAAGTTTCAGCTAACTGTGGAGGAGGAGACATTCTGCAGTAACACGTGTACACAACATGATATTTCTCAGTTTTTAGGCCAAAAAATAAATAATAATTTTGCATATTTTCTACCATTAAGTGACTTAAAAGTACATTTACTAATTGACTGTACTTAAGTACAAGTTTAACTGAGGTACTTGTGCTTTACTTGAGTACTTTCACAGATTCTACTCGTCTACATATCAGGGGTAAATATTGTGCTCCACTACATTTATAGTGTACAGTAATGCATTGCTATACAGTGAATTAGAATGAGCTCCACCTCGACCTCCTGCAACATTAAAGAACTGCTTACACATTGTTGCACAGTGTAGTTCAGTAATGAAAATAATGCAACTTTGTGATATCTATGGCTGTATGATACGGTAAAAACATCATATTGTGATTATGTTATGATTCATGACTAGTGTGGAAATTCTGGTTTTTGTATCAAAAATGTAATTTACACATAAAAAGGTATATAAATCGTGATGGTGATGTGACATTTGTTGTGGTCTGCACCAAACAAACATGTTTTCTTAAATCTGTAGAACAAGATTAGAAGGGAAAGGGCATTTGAGAACTACAGTACTTCATTATAATGATGTTTTGTCACATTTTACCCTGGCAGCTTCTGTGATTTGGATACTGCACTTGGCAATATTGCAAATATTTCCATGAATTGTGCAGCCCTTTATAAAACACTATACAACACTGACAATGATCATAAATATATTAACTTCTGATCATTTAAACCTTTTGCAGATTCCAGCCAGAAGAGACAGTGAGATAATAGTAAATGGTAAAACTCACTCTAACAGTAGCACAACAGAGCACTCATAAGGTCAGTGACTTCATGTTAGCTGCACAGCAATATCCATCAAGCCATTAGCCAACATTGGTTTACAGTTTTTTTTTCTAATTCTTTCTTTTAACTCTTAATTTGTAACTAATAACACTTTTAAATGAGTACGTGTACGTTGTGGGACTGATACTTTTTAATGAAGTAAAGAGTATGACTATATGGACATATGCCTGCAGTGTGTCAGTGGTCCTGGCTGCTGTCCCGCCATTAAACGGACACCTCTCTATCCCGCTGTGGTTGCTGATGTTCGGCCGGTCAGTGTCCGTCCCTCCGCTTCCTGTAACAGTTGCCTGCACTTTGCACCTTTACCTGTAGCTGGTCAGGACGCTTTTGTTGACGACAACGATGAGGAACGAGCTGACGCCGTAAAGTCCCGCGGACAGCAGTTTCACGAGCACCGTGGAGCTGTCACCGGATGCGGCTCTTGCGCTGTTGGAGGAGGCTCCTTCAGGTGACAGCTGTCTGTCCCCGAGCTCGTGTCTGCGTCTATGAAGCGCTGCCATCGTTTACGTAATCAGTACCGATGAAGTTCCAACGGAAGCCGACGAGCCCTTGTGCACATGCGTACAACAATCTATCCTCACGGAAGTAGAAAGAAGTGAAACATCTGGATACTTTAACATTGAGGAGTATCTAGCACTTAACCTATAATTATTTAACACTTACTCACGTAGAGCTACATATAACACAGACCGAGTATAACCTCATTAAAGTGAGAATACCCTTACTCCTAATGTGACAATAGTAATGTCTGTTTTAAATTATACTTGACATATAAAAGCAACTTAATAGAGTAATACTTATTTATGTCACACATTATCAGGTTGACGTTCAAAACAGTTAATTAGGTCTAAGATACAGAACTGACAAAACAATTTTAAGCCAAAAATTTAGTTACATTTAAATTAGGTTACATTTACACACACTGCACAATATACACAAATTACTAAACTATCTGTGTTGGTTGGACTCGAAAGTTGCCACTTTATTAACTACAGCAAACTAAAACTAGTGAGTTGAATGCAGTAGCCCGATGCATGAAACAACATAAATCCTACCTTCATTAAGTGTATGTTCAGTTTCTAGTGAAACTGTTTAGGGAGACGTTGGCTCGACTTTATGGTCATTTTAGAGGACACGTTTGTGCTGCTGTTGAGCTTAAGTCACTCCATCAAATCAATTTCTATAAATAAGGCTGAATATTAAGAGAGATTACTTCTTAGTACAATTTAAACAAGTATCTCAACTACAACCTCAACATTAGAACCTCCATGAAAGGCAGGATTTATTGCAGGGCTGCTGTAGTATCCAACTGCATTGGTTTTTGCTAGTTGTACCACATAAACTGGCAACTAAGTGTATATCAAACCCTTCTGGGCTGTTTACATCCCTCCCAAGTATATTATGTGGCATTAACTTGGAATAGTGTAGTACTGAAATTACCACAGCTTCATTACGCTTCAAGCAATTAAGTCCACAGCACGTTTGTTTACACCTTTAAAATCACAGTACTGATTTTAAACAACCCAACAGCCACTGGCAGAATACATGTAACACCTCTAAAGCAATTTATTAGAACAGGGATGTTTGCAGAGAAAGTTTCACTGTCATGTGGCTCAAACAGTCGTACAAGAAAACTGCTCCAGCCATCTGTATCAGTGCATCACCAGCAAGTCTTTGCAGAGCACAGCATGTAAAGCTTTAAAATTCACTCCATCGTGTTCATAACCCCCCCCCCC